TTAAAGGGTTTTTCTCCATAATGTCGCCTCTCTCAAACATGACAAAAAAGGGCAAATCTAATCAGGTGTGGACTCCAGAAGCACTAACTGACTTTGACACCCTGAAGGCTGCATTTGTCCATCCAGATCCATCACTCCCTTTTCTTTTCAAGGTAGATGCATCAGATACAGTCAATTCGAACCAATCTTTCCTAGAGTTGATGAAGTAGCACCTATTATCCCCCCCCACCACAAAAAAAGATAATAGCAGTAATTTTACGCAACTTAACGTTTGTTTAGACCTTATTAGGTCTTTAAAAGAAGTACAAATCGAAGCACCTCGTCAGACTCCACAGGTTATTTGACCCTTTTGGATTCCGTAAAGAGGTCCTAGCCTTATGCCACGATTACAAGACCACTGACCATCCTAGAACTAAGAAGACCAGTGATCTCCTTGCTGCTCAGTTATGGTGGCCTTCTTTTAGGCAGGATGTGAAATTGGAGGGCCATACCATTATCTTATCTGTGAAAGGCTCAAAACCAATTTGCGCCAATCGGCGCTCAGGGATGAGAAGGGATTCACCGCCCAATCAGGAGAAAAGTCGCGAAACCCATTTGCACCAATCGGTGCTCAGGGAGGGGAGTCATTTTGCCACCCAATCGGGAGAAAGGGTGCGAAACCAGTTTGCACCAATCGGGGCTCGGGGAGGAGAGGGGTTTCGCCGCCCAATCATGAGAAAGGGCGCAAAACCCTGTTTGAATGGGTGCTCCTTCTACTATTGGTTGCCTGCGTCCCCCAGCAACCAATCAGCGTTCACCTCGTGCCGACCTATCAGGGGAATGGCCCAAACCTAGTTTGAATGGGAGTGCCTTCTCCTATTGAAAATATAATTTTGCCTCTTTAGAAATCGCTGGTAAGATCACACCATGAATATGCTGTGCAATTTTGGGCACCTGTTCTAAACAAGGATATCATGTCACTAGAAAACGTACAGAGACAAGCTACAAAATTGATAAAAGGAATGGAGCCTTTTAGTTACGAAGAAAGGTTAAAACATTTAAATCTCTTTAGTTTGGAAAAATAGCGCCTCAGAGGGGATATGATAACATTATACAAATATATTCTGGGCCAGTACAAACCATTATCTGGAAATCTCTTCATAAACAGGGCTATACATAGGACTCGAGGTCACACATTTAGGCTGGAAGAAAGGAGATTTCATCTAAAGCAAAGAAAAGTTTTTTTTACAGTAAGAGCAATAAGGATATGGAATTCTTTGCCTGAATAGGTGGTTTTATCAGAGTCCATACAGATGTTTGAACTGAAATTCGATAATTACTTGCAAAAACATAACATACAGGGATATAATTTTTAATTAGTGGGGTAATAGCTGCTTGATCCAAGGAGACATCTGACTGCTATGTTGGGGTCAAGAAGGAATTTTTTCCTAGTTTGTTGCAAAATTGGAAGCGCTATAGACTAGGTTTTTTGCCTTCTTGGATCAACAGCAAAAACATATGTGAACAAGGTTGAACTTGATGGACGTAAGTCTCTTTTCAGCTATGTAACTATGGAACTATGGTCGGCATGGACTTCCAGGTGGCCAGCGGGGCCTCTGCGGCTGTGAAGCCGACTCACAGCTCCAGGGATTCTGCTTGGGCCGTGTCACTCTCCAGTGAATACCTCCACTTAGGTAGCACCAGAGAGCGCTCCTGGGGCAGATTTGAGCCTGGCCTCACAGTTCCTGCATAGGGGAAACAGTGATTATATCTGTTAGGAGCAGGTAGGGTGACCCGAACCACCAGTACCCCAGCAGTAAGTTCAACATCAGGGACCCGTTCATGGAGTCCTGGTGTGAAGCCCCCGCAAGGGAAATGCATCCTTTCGGGATCTGAATGCTCCCCCTGACGGCCACCCAGGAGAATTCTCCCCATTGCAAGAAACCCAAATAACTAAAATGGGGGGGACATAGTGCCTCCCCCACACCCCCACCTGTGATGTGTGGGTGGGGGCTATTAATATAAACAACGGGACCTAGTGTCCACCCCAGGCCCCCACCCATGACCGTCGGGTGGTGACCTTAATTAAATAAATAATAGTTTCAATACCTTTGAACAAATTCACACAATTAATTCCACATATCCTTTACCATCCAGTGACCAATAAAACCTTAAAGGGAAACTATATTGCCAGGAGAACAAACTAGTTTTTCTGGCACTATAGATTTCCCCTCTGTCAAGGCCCTCCTGTGGCACTGAAGGGGTTAATAACCCCTTCAGTTACTTTCCTGGGTCAAGCACCGATGTCCCTTGGGGCTGGCTCAGCTCCACTGCGCTGACGTCCTCTGGCATGGGAGAATTAATGCGCATGTGCGGCCGCACTCGCATTAGGATCTCCCCATAGGAAAGCATTATTCAATGAGCTGAAGTGGTCTGGGTGCCTACAGTGTCCCTTTAAGTATTAAGATTTTTCTCCTACAGTATTTAACAGTTATCGAAATTGAAATGACTGATTTTACAACTACTTGCAATTTCTCAGTATTAGTAACAATTCTAAGACTTGTCCTTTTCTATAATTCCTGTCTATTCCCTCCAGGTGATTATTAAAGATATGTCTAATATCTCTGGATAATAACTTGATATGCCAAACTTGGCAATTTACCAGTGAATGAATATAATTTACTATTTTCAGCTGCAGTCTGATTTCCTGAATTATATGATTCCCTTATAATGTCCAAAAATGTTTGAAATCTAGATCAGCATTATCCAGGTATATTTTGTTTTTAGGAAAAGTTAAAATAATCAATATAGTTACCAGTCTACTGTGGAATATTCTCTTGTATACCAGAGATGTAATAATCCAATGGATGTAGACATTTGTGACGTGGTTTAGAGATATTTGTCAAAGATTTAGAGATGGAGAAATTAAGTGTAAGGAAATTCTGGCAGTATTAGTAAGAGAAAAATGTTTGAGTCCCAGAACTAATATGACTAACAAAGAACTTTTGACAGGGAGTGTCCATAATTCCAGAGGGAAAGACTTGTGTCTTAGAGTTTGTCCCAAGTAGGTGTTCCCAAGAGTGAATCTCCCAAGAGGGAATCCTTTCAAAGTCTGACCATGTCCTTTATTTTAGCAAAAATCTTCTCTGTCTTTTCATGCCTAGCTTTTTAAAGTGACCAATGGAACTGGATGGGTGTGCACTATTATCATGAGTGTTGACCTCATCCTAATGGGCAATTTATCGATTTTGACCAATAGATGGCATGATTATTCCATGATTATTTTAATCATTAATTCCAATAATTACCTTCTCTTAAGGAGTTAAATGATTTTGATGACAAAAATGATGTGGAAAACTAGTACTTTTATGGCTATTCAATCAAGACCTGTCAATGATCTGAAGCTTTTGGTTAGTTTAAACAGACAGAAAATCATCAAATCTCACCATATTTTAATTAGCTGGCATATATGCCCTCCGATTCAACTTAAGTCTTACAATAGGACACTATAGAAATATCTATTAAGCGTAGACTCCTCTCATAGTTTAATCAGTTGTTCATCAGATGAATACATCTTCTGAGACAATCACACATTAGCATATCTGTGTCTGGATTCTGGTTACATTCTGCTGGCAAACAAAATGGAGTCACAGTTGCTAAACAGTGACTTGCAATACAACATTGATTTTACCCACAAAATGTTTGACATAATGTGATCATTACAAACTGCTCGCTGATCTAAAGCGAAATCTGATGGCCATATGTTTTCCGTTCACTATAGCAAATTTAGAAAGTGCTTTAGGTTGGGTTCTTTCTTGTGTTTGGACTGGCAGCAATGACAGGGAATAGTAAAAACGTGAGCCTGTAGATCTGTCTATAATGTATTATTATATTAATATTTTAAGGTAAAAAAAAAGAGTGAATTATTTGTTCTTTTGCAGCAAACAAATCTGTAATGTATTTTGCGAAAACAAATTCTACACTTCTAGGCAGTGTCCATTTAAGCAGAATTATAATATTCCAATTAAGAGTCATTTTATCTCTTTGCACATAGAAATATCCAGTGAGGTATAACGCTGGGAGCTGCCCGACCAACAATGGACCTGCTGTGCCGGTTGTGTACGACTTGGGAAATGCTGAAAAAAATGCTAATTACTTCTCTCCAGACTTGAAAAGTAAGTCTATATGATAATTATTATTTATATAAAGCCAACATATTCTGGAGCGCTTTACAATAATGCATTCGGGATATAAAACAATAAGTATTGGTGTACAAAGTACTGCTGACAGAGACAATACGTGAAGAGGGCCCTGCTCAAATTAACTCACAATCTAAGCGGAAGGGGCAAAAGAACAAAAGAGAATGAACATGTTTCAGAGAGGAAAGGATGATGGATATTATCCTTATGTTTAGTTAACCATGTGGAACTAGTTAATAGAAGCAATGTAGGGTGGAAGAAGAGAAAGAGTTGACTGGTCTGTGAAAGCATAGGTTATGTGTGTCGGATGAAAAGACTGTTACAATGTGAGAAGTTACATGGGAAGATGGGAATATGGGAAGGTTTCCTAAAAGGAGGTTTTTAGTGATTACTTAAAGGACTGGGTGTTAGGACAAAGTCTAAAAGAACAGGTTAAAGCATTACACAGAAAATGAAGTGAGACATTCTGTTAAAATTAGCAGAGGTGTATCATACAGAGATCAATGTCATTGGTGCAGCAATGGGAATTTGTGAAGTGTTGCATGTGTGGGATACTGCTATTGATCTTGCGTTCCTGTGTCAACATGATGTGTTAGAATTAATTGTTTGTCTTGTTTTACCTTGGCTGTAGTGAGCGCAGTGGACCCCCTCTATCTCAATTCTTTGCACTTTATATGCCTGTGTCTCCTCTCCATCCCTGTTCGTTAGGCCTCACTTCAAACACCCAGATCCAAACAACTGAATCTCTCCCTTTTCTCTAAGCATTTCCCACCCATACCCAGGTTCCTACTAAATTTATAGAATGCTCCTCCTGTTGTTCAGATCTTACTCAGTTACCTCCTCATTCCCTTTACATTTTACTAGTAGTTGCAACTCTTTGTTAAATTCCTTTGGTCATCACTTACAATTTTCCCTGCAACCCCTTGTCCCAAACCCCCATTTTATCCTTTAGATGTTAAGCTCATGGGCTATCTAACTAAGCACAATGTATAAAAGAGCTTCAATGGCTAGATCTCAACTCACGGGCTGGACCTTCTTTACCTTTTGGAATTGTCTGTGTATATTGTACGTTCTTCCCTAGTTGTACAGTATTGCGGAATATGTTGACACTTTATAAAAGCCAGAAATAAATAAATAACTAGAAGTACCAGTTTTTCCTCTTCAGGGCGAGGATTAAACAAAATCTTGTGTTAACAGATATGATCTGTTAACTCAAGAGGTGTCAAATGACGTGTGGTATAATTACATAGAAGATAAACTGCACATTATTTCTAGACATTTTATGATCTAATCTGTAGAAAAAAAAAGTATGAAACTGTGGAAGCAGGATTGTTGGGTGAGGTAAGGAGTTGAACATTAACAGATGATCATTCTTACAGAATACAAGCCTGCAATTGAGGCAAAGTGAGGTACGAACCACCCAGTTTTTAGTGCAAAATAAAATTATTATTGTTGTGTCTACAATTATTATGGAGAGGCTGAACAACTGATGATAAAGTTTTAATTCTTTATTTAAAGGGACACTATAGTCACCAGAACAACTACAGCTTAATGTAGTTGTTCGGTTGAGTATAATAGCTCCCTTCAGCCATTTTCATGTAAACACTGCCTTTTCAGAGAAAAGGCTGTGTTTACATTGCTCCTAGGGACACCTCCAAGTGGCCACTCCTTAGATGGCCACTGGAGGGGCTTCCTGGCTCAGTGCAGCACAGTAAGCAGCCCTGCCGTTCAGCGCCCCCATGATCTGCATGGAGACGCTGAATTTTCCTCATAGAGATGCATTGATTCAATGCATCTCTATGAGGAGGTGCTGAATGGTGGTTGGCCCCGCCCCCTTGCCAATTTTATCCCATGGGAAAGCATTGGTTTGGCTAAAAAATCGTACTTTTTGATGATGTCACCAAGGGGGCGGGGCCAGCGACGGCATACCCGTGGAGAGCTGGAAATAAGGTGAGTTTTAACCCTTTCTGAGGGGGTAAGGAGGGGACCGCCACCTAAATGGTGGGTTTTCACTATAGGGTCAGGAATATGTTTGTGTTCCTGAACCTATAGTGATCCTTAAAAAGAAGAGATTAGGAAGACAAGCATTCATTATCAGATATAGAAGAGATCAAAAGAAGGATCAGCGCTGATAGGTGTCACGATTCTGGAACCTAACACGCTAACAGGACACAGAGAGGAAAGATGCTATACCGGTCCTTAGAGTGGCCGGGCTAAGCACACTAAGAATGGTCAGGAGACAAGCCAAGTAAAGGGAGCCAGAAAACGGGAGAACGAGAAACAAGCCGAGGTCAAAGGAGTGGAGAATGCAGGATAATCAGAATAACGAGCCAAATAATCGGTAACCAGAGAGAAACACGAGCAAACTGCAATATAGGTATCACAAGACCACAACAGGGCACTGAGAGACAGGAAAGGTAAGTATAAATACCCTTTGCTTAATTCTGATTGGATAACTTCCAATCAGAATTAACAATCACACATGGGAGATATCTACGCCTCCCACTGTGATTGTAGTACTGTTGCTTTAACGCCGGGTCACGTGAGTGACCCCGGCGTTTGCATAAATTTGCGTCCTCCCAGCATGCAGCGTTATACATGCTGCCGCTGGGAGGCGTGGAGGATGCGAGCGGTGGAGAGGAGACGCCGCTCGCCGGCAGGTAGGAGGAAGGGAGACCGCGGCGGCGACGGACTGAGGGTGAGTGCTGCAAGTGGCGTGCAGCCTCCCCTCACAGCCGCCCACGGACCCCTGACACATACCTTTTCAAACAGATTAATGTTGTGTCTTTTTTTAACAGATAATTGGACTTTTTATGAACTAAATTGCCGTGTATCCATATATATGACCTACAAGTTTGCAAAAGATCGAATTTTGCCAATAGTTATAACAGTAAACCCGAGTGGAGTAAAAGATGGCCTCCGCGGACTCCAAAAAGAGATGTGGAATGCAGAACACGGAACACAAAATAGCCACGAACCATGAAAAATTCAAAAATTGGTTAGAAACCTGTTCATGGAACATAAAATGCGTGCCGACAGGGTGGTGCTAAAACTGATGTTAGGACATGGAGACGAGACTTGAAAACACAACAGGTGGCATGGAATTCACGCCGAACTCGAGTAGTAACTGCAGGAACTTTTTATTAATTACTGTATAGGTATGTAAACCTAATACTTACTGGGCATAAATACTGACTGAAGCCATTTGTCGTGAAACGCGTATTAAAGATAAGAGATCTTTTCTTTTATGTTTTAATATTGGTCCAATTTTTTATCTTACTACAATACCGTGCGTTGCCCTCAGAGAGACACCTGCTGAAAAAATAGAGCCTAGAAAAAAAAGGCTCTCATATACGTGAGTGTGATCCTTTCTCTTTTTAAAACATTATTATTTAAAGACATACTACATCATATTTGTATTTTCCTCTCATTATCATATACCATCACTTCTTAAAGAGGAGAAGGCCCATAGAAAGGAGGGAGTTCCCTTGCAAAAGACTCCAAAGGCTACAGAAATTGAGCCACATATTGGGCTCCATGCTGGTAAGTTGGTACTTTTACAATTGTCCTAAATATATTCAAGTTCCATCTAAATTCTCAGATTATCTGTACTATTATTTTTGATGTGGGTTTTTTTTTTTTTTAGGTTTATCAACACTTCAAAGAAGCATATCGAAAAGTATTTCTTTGTGTAACACACATGCCCACTAAGATTTAAACACCATAACCACTGTGTTTTATTACTATACACCTTTTATGCTGCACTTGTAAATGTATGGTAATTGTGTAAAATTTTACATAAGCACTTTAACCCCTTAAGACCGGAGGGCGTACTATTACGCCCTATTCTAAGTGGCTCTAAATGCCGCAGGGCGTAATAGTACGCTATCCGGTTTTTTTTTTTTTACTTACCCGGTCGCCGGCGATCTCAGATCCTTCCTCCTGCAGCCCCCCCAGCCATGTGAGACTGAGGTCCTTGCAAGGACCTCACAATCACATGGCCGGGTTAGCTGCCTGCTGCATTGCCAGCAGGAGGACTGCCTGTAATGACAGGTAGTCCCCCTGCTGGCTGGAAATAAAATAAAATTAAAGTTTATCAGTGTAAAAAAATAAAATAATATACACATATACATACACACACATACACTGTCTAGGTGTATTTTACTATTAATATCTATATAATTATATTTATATATTATCAAATTACACGTAGACTGATACTGATTAAATATATATATATATAATTATTGTTATATATATATTTATAATATAAAAAAATATGTAAATACATAAAAAAATAAAATTAAAAAATAAATAATTAAAAAATTATATAGATGTATGTTATTTCGTTCTAACTGTATTGTGATATTAATATATATATATATATATATATATTTATATCAAAATACACATAGAACAAAATAATATATTAAACTATATATAAATAAAAATATTTTTTTTAAATTATATATATACATATATTAATTCTACATATATATTTATGTAATATTTTTACATAATTAGGTATCTTAATTAATTACAATTAGCGGGACCTGCCTGACAACCCATGCCGACAGTAAAGGGAATTTAACTTGCTAGCACTATATTTAACCCTATAACTTTCCAAGACACCATAAAACCTGTACATGGGGGGTACTGTTCTACGCGGGAGACTTCGCTGAACACAAATATTAGTGTTTCAAAACAGTAAAATTTATTAAAACAATGATGTCGCCAGTAAAAGTGACGTTTTTTGCATTTTTCATGCACAAACAGCACTTACACGGATGATATTATTGCTATGGTACTTTTTACTGTTTTGAAACACTAATATTTGTGTTCAGCGAGGTCTCCCGAGTACAACAGTACCCCTCATGTACAGGTTTTATGATGTTTTCAAAAGTTACAACATCAAATATAAGGTTTGTGTTTCATTTTTTTCACATTCAAATTCGCCAGATTGGTTACGTTGCCTTTGAGACCCTATGGTAGCCCAAGAATGAAAATTACCCCTATGATGGCATACCATTTGCAATAGTAGACAACTCAAGGTATTGCAAACGGCGTATGTCCTGTCTTTTTTAGTAGCCACTTAGTCACAAACACTGGCCAAATTGGCGTTTTTCTTGCATTTTTCACACACAAACAAATACTAACGCTAATTTTGGCCAGTGTTTGTGACCAAATGGCTTCTAAAAAAGACTGGACATACCCCATTTGCAATACTTTGGGTTGTCTACTATTGCAAATGGTATGCCATTATGGGTGTAAATTTTATTCCTGGGCTACTATACAGTCTCAAAGGCAACGTAACCAATATGGCGAATTTCAATTTCAAATGTAACATGCTATATTTGACCCTGTAACATCCCAAAATGCCATAAAACCTGTACATAGGGGGTACTGTTTTACACGTGAGACTTTGCTGAATACAAATATGTCTATTTTATTGCAGTAAAACACAGTTAAAATGTCATGTAGAACTAAAAAAAATGAAAAAAATCTTATTTCTCCCATTTTTTTCATATTAAATTATGTTTCATAGCTAAATATTTGATATTAAATGAAAGCCCTGTTCCCCCTGAATAAAATGATATATAATAAGGGTGGGTGCATTTAATATGAAATAGGTGAATTATGGTTGGACAGAAATGTAGCGCAAATGCCAGGTTTTGTTTACGTTTTGTTTTGTTCACAACGTGTACATTTGGCTCCGTCCTTAAGGGGTTAATGGTTTAGCACTTCTCATTGTTATTGTTTCTGCATACTTTTCTTTTTTTAACAATCATTTAAAAAGGTTTTGCACTTTAAATTGAATGATAATTACACATATATAAAACGGTTTTAGATAAGCTTAACCATAATTAAGATATTATCTTTAGTGGTTGAGCTGCTAATGCAACTATTTCAGAACAATATAATTAAATAAGATTTTTTTTTTTTTTAAAGATGAAAGCTCTTTGTAGGTACACCCACCTTTTTTTTTATTTTTTTATTTTTTCACATTTAGAAAATTACACCCAGTTCTAATTTTATCACATGAATATACTTGAAATGGTAAACTGTAACAAATTACATTCTGGATGGCAAATTTCAGGCAAAATTTGCTGATTTGAAGAAAAAAAAATATTCAGCTCACCTATAGTCACAGTTTGGTTATATTTGCCTGACTTTTGTCAATTGGATTTTACATTTCTGTAATTCGAAGTTTATTGAATAAATCCCTCAGTGTACATTTCATTAACAGTATGCAAATATTAACACAAAGGCTAAGGCTCCCATTCCTTCCACCCATTAAAGACACAATATAATCTAAGATATGCTGTAAAAAAAAACTAAAACCTAAGAATGTAGATGGACCGGTTCATGAAGTATACACGGTATCTCTTATAAAAAGAAGCTTAGAGCCTTCTCTAACATTTGACTCTGTGAAATGGTAAGGATGGGGTGGCATTGGGTTGACACTCTGGGTAGGATTACTTGTGCAGCCAGTCCCATCATGAAAAGTTAGCTTTATTTTAGCATGGTTATAATGTTAAATGTCTGCAGGGTAATCTATGCGCACAATCACAACGTGATATGATATAATATAAACACTAAATCTTGTATTTATTGATATGGAATTCTGTGTTTTTATAATCTGTCATGTGTTTTTCATGCTAGCAGAAGATGTTGCAATACAGTTTGTTAGTGCTGGCCGTGGTATTTACCAGTGGACATGCTGCTGATGACCAACCCACTGGAGGCATTTACATGGGTTTCAGGAGCTGCAAAGAGTTTAAGCAAATCGATAGCTCTGCAACAGGTGAGTCTGAGATCCCAATGAAAAAACTGTTATTCTACCCTTCTTGAGAATACCAGATTGAATATATTATTGCTGAGCACCAGTAAACGTGTTCCACTCTTGTTATTATCACAGATGGGATTTATACTCTGACAACCAAAGATGGAGAGCAGTATCAGACCTTCTGTGACATGACCACCAGTGGAGGAGGGTGGACATTGGTGGCCAGTATCCACGAAAATAATATGTATGGGAAGTGCACAGCGGGAGATCGCTGGTCCAGTCAGCAGGGCAATTCCGCTAACTACCCTGAGGGAGATGCCAACTGGGCAAACTATGCCACGTTTGGGCAGGCTGCTGGAGCAACCAGTGATGACTACAAGGTACTCAAAATTATTATGTAATATTATGAAACTAAGCAATAATTTCCAAGAATTAACTTAATGTTAATGTTTTTGTGATTATCATTTTTCCTTATAATGAGATGAGTTTTGGAATGTACGGCTAAATACTCTGGGTTTATAGTGCAATCTTCTGGTTTTTGGGCACATTCTGGGGTTTGGGGTGCAATTTGAAATGAAGTTAGTGTTTGTTTTTCTATCAGGCAACATGACATTACTTTTCAATATGTGGATGTTTACTCACCTTGAATGGTGCATACTGGGTTTTTAATACAATCGTGGGTTGAATATACAGAGAAGGTTTTTAATTTACAGAGTTATTTACTAATGTCAGAAATCAAAGTGAATTTAAAATTTAGGGTCACAGATGATGAACTTAAAGCTTAACTAGCTTAAAAACATCCCCACTTTGGCTATTTTGACCTTAAATTTTAAATTCACTCTGATTTCTCACTTTAGTAAATAAAACTGTTAATCTTGGAGTGCACAACCAGATAAGTGGTTTAATACAACCTTGGGGTGTTTGTCCAAATATGTCTTCATCTAAAGAGACACTATAGGCACCAAAACAACTTTGGCTTAATGAAGCAGTGTTGGTTTATATTATATGACCCTGCAGTCTCACTGCTCATAGAAACATAGAATGTGACGGCAGATAAGAAGCATTCGGCCCATTTAGTCTGCCCAATTTTCTAAATACTTTCATTAGTCCCTGGCCTTATCTTATAGTTAGGATAGCCTTATGCATATCCCACACATGCTTAAACTCCTTTACTGTGTTAACCTCTACCACTTAAGCTGGAAGGCTATTCCATGCATCCACTACCCTCTCAGTAAAGTAATACTTCCTGATATTATTTTTAAACCTTTGTCCCTCTAATTTAAGACTATGTCCTCTTGTTGTGGTAGTTTTGTTTTCTTTTAAATATAGTCTCCTCCTTTACTGTGTTGATTCCCTTTTTAAAGGTTTCTATCTCATTCCCCCTATCTCGTCTTTCTTCTAAGCCAAACATGTCAAACTCAAAGGCTAGCACGGGCCAAATAAACAAGGTTTAAGTTTATGTGGGCCGCAAAAAAAAAACCTTAAATTTTCATAGAAACATAGGTTTGTTTTGAAAAGTACAGTATAAAAAAAAAAACAAGCATCCCCCTTTACTAAACCCAGTCCCCCCGTCTACTAAACCCCATTCCCCCCTCTATACTAAAGTCCAGTCCCCCCATCTATACTAAATCCCAGTCCCCCCTGTATACTAAATCCCGGCCTTTGTTTAAAAATAAATAAAAATATTAGCCAACAAGCAGACTCCACTCACATTTCCACTACTAGTATGCGATTTCGGAGTCCTGCCTCTGGTATACCCCCCAATGGCACCGTACGCACCCTGTGCCAAAGCGATTCCTCCCGCTACTCCTTGAAACCCTGTAAAGGTGGAGCACATTGACATCACATCAGAATGTGATGCGGTGTTGCGTGCCTCTGTGCACCTCCAGGTCCTCCACTGTCTAGCCGCAGCCCTCAAAACACTTACCAACACACGTTTACTGACAGACACACACACTCACTGACAGACACGCACTCACTGACAGACAGACACAGACTCACTGACAGACAGACACACACTCACTCACTAACTGATCTATACACCAAAGCTGCTTCATTAATATACAGCTGTTTAGATTCCTATAGTATTCCTTTAATACTGAGGGGCTGTCAGATTGTTGACTCTTGCTATACATGCTTTGCACATGTTTGTGGTTGCTTGCAAAAACAAACTTTAAAAAAAAGAGCAAAAAAATGTTGCATACTCATATTTAGTTTTCATTTACGTTAATTATTCTGGAATGGTTCTTATGATGCATCCTGACACAGAGTTTTATGGAATCTTTGTGTATGTAACTGTAAAATGATTTATCTAATCTTGCGGCAATTTGAAATTGGGTTGATCTTCTTGAATTGCAGTATCTAGTGGTTTACAAACAGCATTATAGGACTTCACACACATTTTTACTTTCAAGATTCTCCATACTTATATAGGTGTGACAATCATATAGTCGTTTGCCTTTTTTCATGCTGGATCTACTATAATACTGTATCTACCTCTTTCTGAGTTACTGGCTGAAGAAAAGTACCTTATTAATGAAATGACTACTATTTCCCAGAATCCAGGATATTATGACATCTCCGCCAAGGATTTGGGTTTGTGGCATGTGCCTAACCAGACCCCACTTTCTCAGTGGAGGGACACAGCTCTGCTGAGATATCGTACAGCGAATGGTTTCTTCACCGCAGAAGGAGGAAACCTTTTCAACCTCTACAAGGTACAATATTTCTCCAAAACCCATTTGGAGTATTAACTATGTGTACATTTAGTTGAAAGCGTGTATGTAATGGACAGTGTATGTATAGATGCTGCCTATGTAGCATTGTGAAAAAAAAACGAGCTGTTTATGAGAAATGGCAGACAGATTGCTACTAATTCCTATATTCACCAGGCAGATAGAATGGCATTATTATATGTAAAATGTTGATGTGTAAATATTTGATCCACTGAGACTTTAAAAAAAACACCTGTATTCCTAACGTTATAGTACCCTACTTCATAATTAGACTCAGCCCCTACAAACAATAAAAATGTATAAATTTAAAATAAATCCACCATTAAAAGATCCACCAACTCCATCTCCTGCGACATCATCATGGTGGTGGTGTTTGCTTGGTGGTCATCCCATGTGCCTTATAGAGGGGCTTTATGGACAAAATGCACAAGTTCAATCAAAAGCTTCTTATAAGAGAGCATTGAATTCAGTCCTTTTCTAGAAGCTGGATTTGATTATGTTTGAGATCCTCATGGACTTTGAATGTCACATGGCACAGTTTCACTTGGTTGTTGCACAGAAAGTGTTTAGTGGATGTGTGTAAGACAGCCATTGGAGGTGTGTTTACCCTGCACTGTACAAATTGAAGATTCTACAAAAATTTACATTGCTGGGTTACAACTATAGGGCCATTGCAGCCAGCCTGGGTGAATTTAGTGGTCCTTTAAGCAAATGAGATTTCACCTAGAGCAGCAGAAAGCTTTTTGAGACACATTGTTCTACGAAAGTTGGTCGAAAGAAGGTTGATAAACGTTTTAGTCAAAGTGGATATTTTGGGCTAAAACAGTTAATATGATCATTATTAATCTAGGAAGATTGCACTAATGTAGAAATATAATATTCATATTAGCAGTCATTGTATATCTTTGTCCCTAGAAATATCCAGTAAGATATAACGCTGGGAGCTGCCTGACCAACAATGGACCTGCTGTGCCGGTTGTGTACGACTTTGGAAATGCTGAAAAGACAAATAATTACTACTCTCCAAATGGGAAAAGTAAGACATAATATACAAATGTAGACTCTAAGTCAGGACTAAGTGGTCTGTCCATATAATATCCTACCTCTATCTCATTCTGCAGATGAGTTCACTGCCGGCTTTGTCCAATTCCGAGTTTTTAACACCGAGAAGGCCCCTCTTGCTCTGTGTCCAGGAATGAAAGTTACGGGATGCAACACTGAACACGTAAGTATTGCCACCAGCACCTCTAAAGCATGTAACCCACAGGTACATGTTAGAAGCTGTTATATGTGAGATCCAAGCACATTCTGTACATGCAGGTCACACTAGTCTAGAGGAATTAGTCAATCTTCTTGGTTTGGTTAGCTCATTGTAGCTAAACTCAAGACGAAGCAATTACTTAGAGCACCTTTCTATGCATAGACTTCTCATTGAGCTGCGTGGGGAAGTCTGTTATTGGACGGTCACAGAAAGTCCGGGCTGGGGAAGAAGAGGAAAGCTTGCAAAGGCTGCAGACAATGGATCTACAGTTTTTGGCATTCTCAGTCCAATCATAGACTTTGTTAGGTATACCCCTAATGAAAAGATGCATAATTAAATGCATGTATGCTTTCATTTGGGTTATATCTACTAATCAGTGAGTGATTTTTTTAAAATTTATATTAATTTATTTATTTTTGGACAGTGGAGTGCCCCTTTAATGTCCCCTGCCAAGTTAATGGTATTTACAGAAGGGGAAATTGTCAGTCAGCTATGCATCAAGACTCTTTTGACTCTTTTAGCCTTAAATGTGAAATTTAATTTTGAATGCTCAATTTGGTGAATAACCCTATTAGACTTGCACGTGCAGTGGTCCAACCTGCATGATCATACAACATTTAGCCGTCTCACTACATTGATGTGATATAAAAATCCTGAAAATAATCCTGTTACAGTAAATTAAAAGACTGTTTATAAACAATTTAACTTAATGAAACGTAAAAATGTGATACCAACCAACTACTAAAACATATATTATATTTACTATAACTTGAATTCTTTCAGCACTGTATTGGAGGTGGGGGCTTCTTTCCAGAGGGGAATCCCATCCAATGTGGAGATTTTGCTGCCTACGACTGGAACGGATACGGGACACGTTCACAATGGAGTGTCAGCAAGGAGATGACAGAGGCAACTGTTATGCTCTTTTACCGCTAATTAGGAAACCATCTTGGCACTTAGTGCACTTTCTTTTTTAAAAACAAATAAATATTTCATAAATCTTTTAAAAATTATGTTTTGTTTTAATTATTGGCATTCCAGTCTATAGAATACTGATAAAAAAAAAAAAAAGTTCCATTAGAAACGTGTTATAATATTGGAATATTCTTATAAAAACTGAAATATGGCTCAGCATACACACAGTAAACAGTTCAAGCAATTGTCAAACAATCATTCAAATAATCTGTCTCATATACAAAATAGGGGGACATTGTGTTTAAGCCTGCTACTAGTTACAAAGTACCCCAATATTGGTGGGTGCTAACGTACATAATTCATTTTGTTTGTAATAATCTATTTAAGGGATACTATAGTCCCAGAAATACCAAGCTGAATTCCTGGTACTATCGCGCTCCCTGCCTCCCCCTTCCCTCACACCTCCTCTCTCGCCATGAATAAAAGGTTAAAAACACTTTATTTACTTACCTTATCCCAATGCCAATGTCCCTCTGCACTGGATTGACACTCCTCCCCAGGCATGCGCGGCATTATACCTCCCCATAGGAAAGCATTGAATCAATGCTTTCCTATGGGGAAAAATCTGACGCTGGATGTCCTCATGCAAAGTGTGAGGAAGTCGAGCGTCATATACGGGACCAATGGTCCGTTTCGATCTCGGAAGCGCCCCCAGACAGCCACTGGAGGCAGACTTAGTGCTGCAATGTAAACATTGCAGTTTCTCTGGAACAACAATGTTTTAAATTGCAGCACTAGGTGCAAAAGAGACACTGAACCCAGACACTTCAATGAGCTGAAGTGGTCTGGGTGCCTGTAGTGTCTTTTTAAGGAATTTAAGCCAGGCTGCAAGGTAAAAACAACACGCTTAGCTAACCTAAACTGTACTGCTGAAGTAATAAATTGAAATCTGACACTATAAAAAAAAAAAAGTCAGGAACCAAATCCCAAACCAAATATTCCCTGGCCAAACCCCCCCTCCCCCCCAAAAAAACTAGGTGGTTCAGAGAACAATGTGTCTGAGCTGGGGCTCTGAGAGAACTTCGGAAGAAGTCTAAATCCATTAGGTGCCTATTGTATCCGGTCGGTCTTCCTCTGCAAACACCAGAACCAGCTAGGGGTATGGTGTCTAGTCAAATGGGCATTTCAATAGATTTTTGAAAATTGGGAGGTAGATATCATGGTCATTTTCAAAAACAGTCAAGTCCAGAGAGTCCTCATTCACAAGCAGAAGGGGCTGGTGTTACATAAAAAAAATGACACATTCACACAAAAGTGAAAGCAAATGCAAGAGTGTTTACACATAGTTTCATGTCTCGTCTTCCCTGTGCTTTCTCCATGCACTATTCCAAATACAAAGGACACAGATTATAAAAATGATTGACAGCAAGCTAACATGGTGGTGCCCAGTTGTGGCTTAAAGTGGTGTGAATTGCTAAATTTAGTTTTATTTTACATATTTGTCACATGTAGAGATGAGTAAACCTAATATTTAAAATCCTGGCAAGTGACAATACCTCTTTAAATTTCAAGAGTAGGGTCTAGCGCTCCACCATTTTAAAACTTCACTAACCACTACTGGTATGCGTGCCATATGGTGTACTATGTATAAGCTCCAGACTTCAGGGACCATGCAGCTAGCCAACAGGTCCGGAGACTATGTTACTGGGATCCCTGAACAAATCCACACAGGACACGCAGTTCCAAAAATAACTAGCACACACAGTTTTATTGCAAACAGCACATCTATTTATACACCCACCGCCTCATTTACATACAATGTCTGTTACAAAGGTACGCAAAGTTCCCCACCAGGTCCTCCACCGTAACCCCCTCCCAAACAACACAGTGAACTCAAGCCAACCAATAGCAGTATGAATTTGGCCAATGACCAATTACACTGCAAATCTCAAATCAAGCAATAGCAGCATGGACTTGGGCTAGTAGCCAATTACATTACAAAGCCAAATTACATTAGTGTGAATACAATACTGTGTTTACAATGCAGGGTGAGGACAGACAATAACAAGGGTTGAGGGCCACATGGGAGATTTAAGGGCATGACAGAGCAGCCAGTTTGTACTAGTATGGAGGTGTCTCTAGAACAATGGGACAACGCCCTTCTAGAAAAAAAACGAGGAAAGGGAGGAGGAAAATAACTAACAAATACATTATAATATACACACCATTACCTATCATTGGCACAGGGTGACTAAAACATAAGAGTAATCTGGGGACCTACATAAAGCGTGCATTTTCAGCCCCAAGTGATAGTGACTACCATCACAGTGGTCATATAGTGTGACCAAATCCCTGTAACAAACAACTGGTGTCGTGTTCAGTTCTGGAACTCAGGTGCAGTAACAGCTCTTCCTTACAAACACCATCCACAGAGATCCTGAGGTTGAGAACAGGTGTCTGTTGGTTTAGTGATGGCACAGGGGCTTTAATAAAAGTAACATTAAAAAAAATCCAAGGCAAAGGTATCCGAAGAAATCAGAGTCAGACGGTCCAGAGGTCAGGGCAGGCGGCAATCAGCAAAATCCAGAGAGCAGGCAAAGTCGGGAAACCAGCAAGGACAGGAAACACAGGGAAACAAATGCTAGGAGTTCTGAGGCAGTCAACAAAACAACCAAGCACTGATTGAAAGGTGTGCTCTGCTTATAAAGGACTGGCTCAATCGCATAACTTGGTCTCACCTGTAGGAGGAGTTACCTGAGGTCAATGTGACTGACTGTGGGAGTCAGCCTCATCTTGGATACATCATTGTCCTGGCTTCGTCCCACAGCCACACCTCTTCCAACCTCTGACCTGCAGATCATGCAGCGGATTCCATCTTGGAATGCTGGAGCAATCACTACGAGTTTCCTGGATGTGAATAGAGGTACAGAGGATGCAGACTGGGGTGCAGCAGCCAGAGCCACTATAACCGTTGCAGATTGACCTCCATGGCGTTGTGGATGCCCTGGACAGGTGAGTACCGTTGGCGAATGTGACAATACTATGTTTTATATATAAGACCAGGGTTTTTAAAATGCCTTAAAAAATTGCTTAAAACATTTTTGGTGTGTTAAGCCATAATGCATATTTTGTATAAACAATCTGTGGACATATCAGGTTCCAATAGTACTATGGTTAAAATATTAAAATATGAATGTATTTTTTTTAATTTTTACTAAACTGAAAGCTTAATCTCTAGACCATGCCTCCCAATATTTCCGATTTCAATGCCACAGTCCTGTCCTGCCATCCTGAATTTTTTCCCGCTTTTAAGAACACAAGGGACCTGTCCCTAAAAAGTGTAGTGCAAGTGCATCATTAGCCGCAGTTGTGCTGTGCTCAAGGCACTAGGACCCTATCAAGAACACTGATACACTGCTCCTTGCATGCCCTGACCTCGGTGGGTCAGCCTGCTTGATTGGCAGTTAGCCTGGCGTGAATGCACACCAAGCTGATCTGCCAATTCTCCAGGTTTTACCACGTTTGGGTGGTACTCGTGATGCAATTTGGTCGGGCTGGTTAAATTTTGCCCATGTGACATTTCAGTTCTGATGAATTTTGGCTATGCAATGATTTCAGGAAAACGATTCAGAGAAACCAAAATTTGGCAAAATTTGTTCCTAAATATGGCTATAACACTTGTGGAGCCCCCAAATTCAGCCCGCGGCTGTTCTTGCTCTATTCAAGGGCGACTGGACGTCTGTCACAGTATTGGTTCCCCGCAGCCTGCTGGAAGGAAGTGAGATCCGTGCAGGGAAGCAGGAGCAGGCACACACACACTCAAGAGGGGGAAGGGCAGCTAAAAACTATGTTAAAGTAGTGGTTTTGGTGTGTATAGCCTGTCCCTGCAGGTTTTTCAACGTAAACACTGCCTTTTTCGAGAAAGGGTATTGTTTACATTGCTGCCTAGGAACACCTCTCATGGCAGTCACTCAGACAGCCACTAGAGATGCTTCCTGGATCAATACTGCACAATGTGCTGCACTGATGTTCCGCGTCTCCATGCTCTGCATGGAGATGCTGTACGCTACCCTTAGAGATAAATTGATTCAATGCACCTCTGTGAGGAGATGCTGATTGACGCAGCACTGTGTTTTGCCGCACATGGGCAATAGCCTCCCAATGCTTTCCTATGGGAAAGCATTGGATTGGCTGAGATCATCAACTTTGATGATCTCAGCCAAAGAGTCGGAGCAAAGGCAGAGACTGCCACAACGAAGCCCACACTGCACTGGAATAAAAGTAAGCTTTTTAACTTTTTAAAGGGAGGCAAGGGTGCCGGCCACCTAAAATGTGTTTTTAACACTACAGTATAGTGTATGTTTGTATTCCTGCTCCTTTAATTTTTTTTACTTATATGTGTGTATGTGTACCTGTGTGTCAGTTTGTATTTGTACCTGTGTCTGCATGTTACTCAGTGTGTGTGCTTATCTGTGTCAGTATGTGTATCAGTTCATACATGCCAGCATGCACACGTCAACACTACACACCCCAGAATTCAAACGCCAACAGTGCACACGAATATACCCCTGCATTCAAGCATGCAAACGCAGTCTGCCCAGCATTCAAACATTATTACTTCATTACAAAAGGTGAATCCAAACATCATTACTTCAAACACACCCATGAGTTCAAACACACACTCTCTGAATCCACCCTCTACCACTGGGCCTCTCTGACTTAGAAAATGCCCAGGCTAACTTTTTTTTCACAACTCTAGCCCTGATTATATGCATTTGTCTACTTTTTAGTATTTGAGCAATATAAAACAAATAATAAAATAATCCAATGACGCATTTCACCAATAAGGCTTTTTCAAGTAGGTCCAACAATACGTTTACCAATAAAGCTTTTTCAACTCATTTAAAAAGCCTTATTGGTGAAACGCATAGTTGAAATATTTTATTTATTGTATATTGTAATTAGATTCCTCTATGTTTGAACCTGATAGCCTTTATTGTTATTTATTTTACTCAATTATT